TTTTTCCTGCAACATCTAACTCATTGCCATTCTTCATTTGCGTCAACTTCAAAAGCATAGTCACACTATATTAAGATGTCGTTTAGATTAAAGGAAATGTGTTTGTCTTAAAAACATGTTTCATGATCACCGACTTTATGATCCGAACACAAGGGGAAAGGGGAAGGAATACACGGGAACTGTTGGACTATAGCTATTTATTTCAAAATAAAATAGATTTATCATTTCCTAACATTTGAAATTAGATTTAATTTAATATCGAAAAATCAACTTCTGAAACATATAATATTTCTTACTTATATACATTTTAATTTGGTTATATCAATATGAAATCTCCAATACCCCTTTCTTATCACAAATACTACACATATTGATGGTGAAGTTTTAAAGAAATAAATATTTACATATAGTTCTTCTCCTTGCCTGATCTGATAGACCTAGCTACAATTGTTAGATTCGATTCTGATATCTTTATCATTTAAGTTTGTTTCTTACTTGATCATCCAAATCAATGTGTAAAAACAAATCGTTACCCATTTATATTCATATACTTTATGTAGGGTGACTTTACCACAACAATTCTCTGGTACAAACCTTATAACATGCTTTTTAGAGTTAAGTTTTGGAGACAGAAAAAAGACACACAAAGTATTTAATTTTAAATTAAAAAATATATTGTATGGAATAATAAATAAATGGTTAAGACACACTAATATATTTCACTACCTCTCATTTTCCCTATATCTTAATTAATCTAAAAAATTATTCAATTGTTATAATATGATACAGGATCTATCCAACTCAAGATGTATTGTTTATCATAAGGGTGTAAGTCATTTCTTCATTGTAACCTTTTGAATTTAAATGTAATAAATCAAATTTATATACCATATGTCATAAAATTTTTAATTTAATATATGTTGAGTTAACGCGTCAATTAATGATTTATGGATTCAACTTTAAATTCAATAACTCGGGGTCTCAGTGGCCATGATTCGTAGACAAGGAAGATCATGGTGGGGTAGAGTGGATGGTAGGACAATAAAACCTTTCTTGTTCTCCAACTTCCCCAATAACGACTAGAATTTAGAATATGAAAAATCTTTCAAAGATGTGGTGGAGGTCTTTATTGCAAGAACGCTAAACAAGTGTGGTGGGGGGAGGTACGGATTTGTCCAGTTCTCTGATGTCAAGAATGTAGAAAAATTAGAAAAAGAACTGGACAGTATAACTATCGAAACTATGAAGCCGGATACGAATAGGCGATGACGGAGGTATGATCAAAAGCATATAAAACGAGGCACTCAGAAGGCCGTGGTAGGGAAAAAATTGTTAGCAATATTTTACTGAATTGAAATGTAAAAACATATATCTCATCATATCATAAATAACGGTTTAATTTGGTGAGGGATTAAATTAAAAAAAAAAATACAGAGGTCACGTAAAGAAGACGTGGTTTATTATCTCCAAACATATATTTTTACTTGTGTTTTTTTCTTTTTATCTCCTAAAATAGAAAAGACTTAATACTTATTTTGATTATTATTTTTTTTAGTTTTATTTAAAATGATCCTCCACTTTTTGTGGTCTCAATTTTTGTAATTTTTGTTCAATTTGATTTTTTTTCTATGACAGTGTCTAAATCGTTAAGGACACAATGTCCACTTAAGCCATGAGTGAATGAGGTGTAACTTTTTCACATGCGTGACAACTTAAACAAAAGCTGACATGAATACATGGTATTTCAAAGTGGTTTATGTGTTGAAAGACATTTGACTTTACTATTGAAGGGTTGAAGCTAGATCACATTCGCCTTCAATTTAGTTTGCTTGTTCATTGAAATTGGAAGTGAAGGGGCCTAAGTTAGGTATGTGTTCTTAATCTAAGGTTGCATTTGTGTAATGGGGTATTAGGGTTTTTGTCGCGTTGAGTTAGGTTTTGTTTGTTTTGGAAATTCATATGGTTATGATTTGGAGAAATGTGTAAAATGTAATTTTTTGTGAGAGTGAGTATGAGTTTGGTGTTTAAAATTTTGTATTTGTTTCGTAGTGATCCCTTGTCGATTTTCGGTGTTGGGATTCATCTCCTACATTTTACTTTCATCCTTTTTTAGTTGTCCCTTGTCGATTTCCATTTGCAGGGTTCGTTTGGGGATATGTGATGACATGTTTGAAGTTGTGGTTCACCATGGTGGAACTTTGATAAAGGAGGTTCCATTTAAATATATTGGTGGAAAAGTTACATATTGGAAAGTTGACCCCGACAAATGGAGTTATTTCAAAGTGCTGGGTGCCCTTAAGGACGTGGGCTATATTGAAGTAAAGGACTTGTTTTATTGTATTGAAACTATGGTGAATAAGTTGTATGATGATAAAGGTGCAATGAATATGATAAACATGACAAAATATTATGGGAAAGTTCACTTGTTTGTGGTCCAAGATATGGATGAGCTAGAGGTTGTAGAAAATCATTTGAATGAAGTGTTTCACTTATGTCAAGGACCTTTAGAGAGTGGAGAGGGTAGTCATGTTGCTGATTTGACAGATGTTGAAGTGGAGTTTAAGGGTAGTGATGAAGGTAATATTGAGTTTAAGGTTAAAGTGGAAGTCATTGGTGATGATGTAGTACAAAATGGAGGCCAATACTAATAAGTTGAGTGAGAAGTTGGATAGGTCGTTACAAGAAAATCCAAATTTGAGGGTGAATGAAATACGTTCAAAGCGGGTTGAAGAATGGAAACTTAAGATCTTGGGAGTGGGAAAAATATAAAGAAAATCAATTTTATAAACTTATTTCTACCCAACATCTTAAGAGAGAAAGAGAGGACATATGGGTTTGGATATTTTATGAGATGACATTATTTTCTGTCAATTTTGCATACAACTCTACAATATAACTAAATTGAGAAAAATGATACATTGTTTAAATCCTTTTTGAGTGTGAAGACTTTCCCTAACACACAACACTTTGGGTGGAGAGTGTAACAAAAAAGGATAAGGCTATCCTAAATATGTATGATGAATTTGCTTATTTATATGCCTCTAACAATACTGCGATAATATAGATGAGGTTATTATTATTTTGCGATACATTGTTGAGTTAACATGCTTCGAGAAAGTTGTGATGGTGTAGGGGTTGCCAAGGGTAACAATAAAAATATTATATTTTATAAATGTGTGTGGTTGTACATCAAATGCAGTGATCAAATCATTCATTAGCCAATACAAAAGTAATCGAGAAAGGAGGATACTTAGAAGATTTAAACTAGGTGATGCTTGTTAAGAATTAAATTTGTAAATGCACTGATGCAGAGAAAATTGACTGACTGTATTATTAATTGTAAATGTGGCTTTAAATAGCCAAATGACAGTTACTACACAATTAAAACCCCTCACCGAAAATAAAGCTAGTGGTGGTTACAGGAATGAGAAAAAATAGCAAATATCCCTAAAGACTTGGTAAACCAAGATATTATTCAAAACAGAAATAAAATTGTTATTGTTGCAAACTTCTTTATTTCCTCCCTTAAACTAAATGTTATAAAGCAATTAGTTTATATCAGAAATTATATCAGAAATATCACACACTCCCAACAACTTTCGACGCTTTTTGAAAACCTTCTATCTTCAATGGCTTGGTCATTATATCAGTCAATTGATCTTGACTCTTGCAATGAACTAATTCAATTGTACCTTCCTTAGTAAGATTTCTTAAGAAATGAAACCTTACATCAATGTGCTTGTTGCGGTCGTGCATAACAGGATTCTTTGACAACTTAATGGTTGGGTTGTTATCACACATCATAGTTATACAATTTTCATAAGAATGACCCAACTCCTTTAAGATTCTTCTCATCCAAACTCCTTGACAAGCACAAACAACAACTACTACAAATTTTGCTTCTGTGGTTGATAAAGTTACAATAGGTTGTTTTTTGGAACACCAAGAGACAACACCTGACCCTATTAAAAATACATAACCTGATGTACTCTTCCTATCTCCCATATTCCCTCCATAGTCATTTTCAATGAATGTGAATAGCTCACCACTTTCTGTTGTCTTATAATAAATTTCACAATTCACAATTTCTTTTAAGCATCGTAAGGCTCTTTTAACTGCCTGCAGGTGAATATCCAGTGATTTTGCCATATATCTACGTATGAGACATGTACAAACATCATATCAGGTCTTGTCGCAATGAGATACATCAAACTGCCAACCAACTTCTCGTAATAAGTTTCATCAACATAATTGTTGGTTCCATCAACATAATTGTTGGTTCCATCTTTGCTCATTTTGAAACTTGGAACTATTGGCGTGCCTATATGATTACTTTCCAGCATACCAAACCTGCTCAAAAATTCTAATGCATATTTCTTTTTTACATATATAAATACCATCAGGTCTTTGTAGCACCTCAATCCCAAGAAAAAAATCTCATCTTCCACAAGTCAGACATATCAAATTCTATTAACATAGAGCTTTTAAACTCAGACATCATGACTTCATCATTACTAGTAAAATTTAAATCATCAACATAAATACTTACAATGATAATTTTTCCTTATTTGTTTCTCTTGGTGAATAATGTCTGCTTGCTGTCACACCGCTGAAATCCTTCACTAATGAAATGAGCTTCAATTCGACTGAATCAAGCACGCGGGGCTTGTTTCAAGCAATACAAAGCTTTATGCAATTTATAAACCAAATGCTCATCACCCTTCATTTCATCTCCTTTTGGTTTCTCCACATAAACATCCTCATTAATCTCACCATGAAGGAAAGTCGACTTAACACCTAGCTGGAAAATTTGCCAATTTTTATTTTCAGCTAGAGCATTAATCATTCTTACTGTATCCACTGATGCATAAACTTATGTGTAGTCAATTCCATGCTTTTAAGAATACCCCTTGGCCACTAATCTAGCCTTGTACTTATCAACATTGCCATGTTCATTGTATTTGATTTTGTAAACCCATTTCACTCCAATTATTTTAGCTTCAATAGGTAGTGTAGTGAGTTTCTTGATTCTTTTTTATGGATTGGATTTCTTCATCCATAGCCCATCGCCAATTCAGATCTTTCACAACTTCCTCAAAACATGTGGGATCATTTGATACCATTAATGCCATATGGGTCTCATTCTCCGACAAACCCTCGCCAAGAACATAATAACCCATCCAAGTAGGAAGTTTCCTGTTTCTTGATACTCGTACTCGATCTTCTCCTTCACTGAAATTTCTTCTCCTTCGCTGGAATTCTTCTCCAACATCAGTTTTTTGGCCTGCATTTATTTTTGCAATATCATTTCTTTCATTCTCACATGCATCTATTTCTACATCATCTATTTTTGCATCATCTATTTCTGCATCATTTATTTTTGCATCATCATTCCATTTTAAATCTGGTACAGGTTGTGTTTTATCTCAATCCCATTGTTTGTCTTCCTCAAAAATCACATCTTTACTTACGATAATTCTTTTAGCTATGGGATCAAATAGCTTATAGCCTTTGGATTCCTCACTAATTCCCAACAGTACACAACTGATGCTTCTATTATCAAGTTTGGTTCTTCTTGCTTCAAGAACGTGCATATGGGCTACACATCCAAATACCCGAAAGTGAGCAACCGAGGGTTTCATTCCACTCCATGATTCTTGCGGTGTAACATCTTTCACAACTAATGTAGGAGATCTATTTAGGACATAAATGGTCCAGTCCACTACCTCTGGCCAGAAAGAGTTGGGAATATTTTTACCAGATAGCATGGAACAAACCATGTTCATCATTGTTCTGTTTTTCCTTTTGGAGACTTCGTTTTGTAGTGGAGTATAAGCAGTGGTCAATTACCTTTTGATCACATTTTGTTTACATAAATTATGGAACTCTGTTCAATGAAATTCTTCCCCTCTGTCTGTGCGCAAACACTTAATAGACATTTCAGTCTCTTTCTCAACCATAATCTTAAAACATTTGAATGAATGTAACGCTTCTGATTTTTCTGCCAAAAAATACACCCATTTTGTTTTACTATAATCATCAATTAATAGTAGAAGATAGCTTTTGTTGCTATTAAATGTTAGAGAGATGGAAACATATATCTGCATGGATAAATTCTAGCTTCTGACTTGCTCTCTAATTACTTTGTTTTGGAATGGAGTCACGATGTTGCTTTTCATTAAGACAGTCACTGCAAATCATTGTTGACATAGAGAGTTGAGGAATTCCTTGTACCATGTTCTTGTTCAATAATGTTCATAGGCCATTATAGCTTAAATGCCCATACCTTCGGTGCCAAAGATGAGATAGATTTTGAGTGTGTGTATGAAGGCATTGATCAGATTGCGTTTTATGGAAAGTAAAATATTGGGGCAGCGTGAAAAACATCATGTTGGCACTCATGTTGGTATGAATTATCAAGCCTTTCTCTGGATAAAATATTTTTCACATTCCTCCCTTGATCAAAATAGTCAAGCCTTTCTCTTGTAATTTTCCTATGCTTAAGACATTATTTCAAATTTTGGAATATAGTAAACTTCAATGATGACAAAGTTTACTCCATCTACCAATAACTTGATGCTTCCTTTTCCTATCATTGTCATCTTGGTGTTGTTTCTCAACTTTACTGAGTGTCAAAAGTTTTCATCAAACTCATGGAACATAGCATATTCACCACACATGTGATTAGAACATCCTGAATCAAAAACCTAGCGTCTTTTCCTTTAGTCTCAGGAAACTCCACGTAGAACATCAAAAGAAATTCTTCTTCTTCTTCATCAACCTTCGCATAACTTGCCTCTTTGTTTCGAGGACATTCATAACGAAAATGTCCAAGTTGATGGCACTGGTAGCTTTCATGGGTTGCTCTCGAGGTTTGGCATATGCTAAAGCCATACTTTCTTATAGTTGTTTTGTTTTAATGATTTTCACTAACTACTTACAGCTGTGTGATATATTAGTGTAACAAACAGAGTGGGTCATATGAGTTCAGATACTACGTAATGTATTGGATGGTCCACACCATTTGTGCCCATATCACAAGAGGCTGGGAAACGGTAATATTTAGATTTAAGGAATTTTGTTTTTCTCCATCATTTGAAATTCATATACACTAATTAATATCATGTGTCTTGTGCAGAGATTCAAGACTCCTACTCCACTTCCTGAGAAACCACTTACATACCTAAGGAAGACACTTGCAAAATATTTAATTAGATTATTCAATGGTTCATAGTTATTAGGATTTTAAAATACATTAGCACATGTTGATTTATTGTTATTAGACTTTGTACATTATGCTTTAAACATTATGTGATCTAAATATTGACTATTGTGTTGAATCTATGTTGTTTTATACTATTTGATATGCAAGTTTGTTTTTGTGATAGTGGATATCACAAAAATAGACCTACTATTAAAAAAATTGCAGGAGAATAGGCCTCGATTGTAACCAAAACTGAGGTAAAAACCTATGTATGGCTTCGGTTCATCCACAGTCGATGCCATAGGATGCACGAGAATTTAAAAAAAAAAATAAGGCTTTGGCAGCAGTTGAAGCTAGAACTGCTGCCATAAGTTCACGTTATTACCTCGGTTGTAATAACCCCTTCCCCTCTTTTTTCTTCTTCCTTACTACTTCGGTTGTTGATGAACCGAGGTAGTACCCTTTGAGATATTACCTCGGTTGGAACTGAGGCCAAAAGTTTCCCAACTTTTTACCTCGCTAGGATATGTCTCGGTTCGACAAACAAAGCGTATTGTCAAAAACAACAGCTATTGTTTCCCTTCATTGCACTAGTGGTTCGACCTCTTCCTCTTCTCTGTCATCTTCCTCTTCCTCTATGGCCACCTCGATTATGACTTCTTTCCTCTTCAAAGGTCACTTTTAAGGCTTGTTCCTCATCTTTGTGTCTACGAAACTTCTGTTCATGTACTATTA